ACTGGTGGGCAGAGCCAGGTTCTGAGATGAGTGGTTGTGAGGCTGAGGTTCCTGAATCTGGTGTTGGCCTGCTGGTGGGCGGGGCCGGTTCTTAACACTGCTGGTTGTGAGTTCCAGGGTGTCCCAAAGCTGGTGCTAGCCTGCTGGTGAGTGGGGATGAATTCCAGGGTGGCTGGCTGAGGAGTCCAAAGTACCTCAGAGCTGGTGTTGGCTTGCTGATGGGTGGGTCCAGGGGCTGGGGCCTCACAGAGCTATTGTCAGCCTGCTGGTGGGCAGGCGCAGGGCCCAGGGTGGGTCCCAGGCTACTGTCAGCTCACTGGTGGGTGGAGCTGGTCCCGAGGTCTCTGGATGCAGGGCCCTGGGGGTCCCGAAGCTGACAGTCTACTGATGGGTGGGCCTGGATCCCAGGGCTGCTGACGGAGGCACCCAAGGTGCCCCAGAGCTGAAGCTGGCCTACTGGTGGGCAGGGTTAGGAGGTAGGGCCCCAGGACTGCTGCTGGACTGCTGATGTGTTGGCTGGGTCCTGACAGGGCAGGCTGTGGGGTTGCAGTGGTCCTGGGGCCTGTGTCTGCCCTCTGGTGGGCAGGATCGGGGTCTAGGAGCTCCTAGGACTGGTGCCCACCCAATGGTGGGTAAAACTGGGTCCTGGGGCTAGTGCTGGCCCAATGGCGGGGGCACAGCTGGGTTCTGGGGTCTCTGGCTGCAGGACCCAGGGGTCCCAGAGCTGGGGGGTGGGGCTGGCTCCTGACACAGCTGGCTGTAGGGTCAGGGCTGTCCTGAAGCTTGTGTCAGCCCACTGGTGAGCGGGGCCAGATCCTTGGGTGGCTGGCTAAGGTGCCCAGGGTGTCTCAGAGCTGGTGTCTCCCAGTGTTATTTAATATAATCTACTCCTTCTAGAGTCACATGGTCCACTTACTTATCACTTTTAAAGGTATATGATATTCTATTGTGTTACTAGCCAAGCAGGATGAAACAATTCTATTGCCTTCTGTATATGCCAAGCACTGAGGATGAGGGATGAATAAGTTACCATTCCTGCCCCCAGGAAAAATAACAGAATCTATTTGTAGAGTAGTGGGGAAAGAGAATGGGGAAAAAGAAACAAAAGAAGGAGTGGTCAGTTCTACCCTGAAGAAAGGGGAACAGGAGCCCTCAGAAAAAGACTCAGAGGTGGTGATTCTATAATTTCACACATATTAGGTAGACATTTCACTGTTTTAAAATTCACCAGGGACTTTCCTGGTCGTCCAGTGGTTAGGACTCTGTGCTTCCACTGTGGGGAGGGCACGGGTTAGATCCCTGATCAGGGAACTAGGATCCCCAAAGCCACACAGCATGGCCAAAAAAAAAAAAAATCACCAATACATTTGACAAATTAGTGCCTACTATGTCAAACACTGCACTTCATCCTCACTATTATGCAATTCCTGGTTTCAGAGGCCAGTTGAACTAAATTTAGCATGAAGAAAACTAAGCCAAGAATAAGAGGCTATAGTCTTGGGTTAGGCAACGGTTTCTTAGATTTGACACCAAATGCATAAGAGACAAAAGCAAAAATAGATACACTGGACTATATCAAAATTTAAAACTTTTGTGCTCCAAAGAACACCATCAAGAAACTAAAAAGAGGGGACTTCCCTGGTGGGATGGTGGTTGAGAATCCGCCTGCCAATGCAGGGGACACGGGTTTGATCCCTGGTCTGGGAGGATCCCACATTCTGTGGAGCAACTAAGCCTGTGCGCCACAACTACTGAGCCTGTGCTCTGCAATGAAAAGCCCATGCACTACAATGAGGAGAGGCCCCTGCTCACCGAAACGAGAGAAAGCCTGCGCACAGCAACGAAGACCCAATGCAGCCAAAAATAAATAAATAAATACATTTACAAAGAAGCAGTACTGATTAAAAAAGCAAAACTAAACTAAACTAAAAATATAGGGAATTCTCTGGTGGTCCAGTGGTTAGGACTCTGCGCTTCCACTGCTGGGAGCCCAGGTTCAATCCCTGGTCAGGGAACTAAGAGCCCGCAAGCCTCATGATGTGGTCTAATTAAATAAATAAAAAGACAGTAAAAAGATAATCCAGAGGATGGGAGAAAATATTTGCATATCATATATTTAATAAGGGAATTGTATCCTGAATATATAAAGAACTGTTACAATTTAAATTAGATTGTGGTGATGACTGAACAACCTTGTGAACTTTCTAAAAAACACTGACTTGGGGCTTCCCTGGTGGCGCAGTGGTTGAGAATCTGCCTGCCAATGCAGGGGACACAGGTTCGAGCCCTGGTCTGGGAAGATCCCACATGCCGCGGAGCAACTAGGCCCGTGAGCCACAGCTACTGAGCCTGCGCGTCTGGAGCCTGTGCTCTGCAACAAGAGAGGCCGCGATAGTGAGAGAGAGGCCGCAATAGTGAGAGGCCCGCGCACCGCGATGAAGAGTGGCCCCCGTTTGCCACAACTGGAGAAAGCCCTCACACAGATACAAAGACCCAACACAGCCATAAATAAATAAATAATTTAAAAAAAAAAACAACCCACTGACTTGTATATTTAAAATGAGTTAATAAAAGAATATATCTGTGTGTAACTGAGTCACTTTGCTGTACAGCAGAGATTGGCACAACATTGTAAATCAACTACACTTCAATAAAAAATAAAATAAAATGAATGAATTGCAAGGTATGTGAATTATATCTCACTAAAGCTGTTTTTATTTTTTAAAAAAAGCGTTAAAAAAGTTAACTAACACACCACTGTAAAGCAATTATACTCCAATAAAGATGTTAAAAAAAAAAGGTAGATGACAAATTAGGGTAGGAATTAATTCTTTGTTCAACTGTACTGCTGATGAAGCTAAGGTCAAAAAAGGTATCATAGGGAGGGTGGGAGGGAGGGAGATGCAAGAGGGAAGGGATATGGGAACATATGTATATGTATAACTGATTCACTTTGTTATAAAGTAGAAACTAACACACCATTGTAAAGCAATTATACCCCAATAAAGATGTTAAAAAAAAAAAGGTGTCATAGGGAGGGTGGGAGGGAGGGATATGCAAGAGGGAAGAGATATGGGAACATATGTATATGTATAACTGATTCACTTTGTTATAAAGCAGAAACTAACACACCATTGTAAAGCAATTATACCCCAATAAAGATGTTAAAAAAAAAAAGGTGTCATAGGGAGGGTGGGAGGGAGGGATATGCAAGAGGGAAGAGATATGGGAACATATGTATATGTATAACTGATTCACTTTGTTATAAAGCAGAAACTAACACACCATTGTAAAGCAATTATACCCCAATAAAGATGTTAAAAAAAAAAAAGGTATCAATTTCATTACTAGACAGTGACTCACCGACTCAAGTACTTAGTAGCTTTAAGATCTATTTTCAATGACTATAGTTTACATATGAGGTTAAACAATTTTGTTTTTAATGAAAAATAGAAAAAATAAATAAAAGGGGGCAAATGAAACTACTGACTGCCTTGAAAATTACTTCAAAAAGATTTTTTGCTGCAAACTGTGAAAATGTGACCTCAGAGATTATCTGAGATGATCTCAACTAATGAAGAAAACTCATCTTATCTCTGCCCTGCCTGATGAGAACACCCATGCTGCTGCTATTGAGAAAGGACAAAAAAGAATGCAGGACAGTAACTGTCTCCCAACTGCAGGACAAAATATTTAGATATCATCTTTGGTAAGTGATTCTTCTATTTACTTCTTCATAAAAATGAAGTGTTTTAAATTAGGTAACTTTTTCAAAAAGGGCTGCGATTTGATCATTCCTCAAATAACAGATTTGCTCTAAGAACAACTACTTTGTTTGTAAAAGAAGATTCTTGTAGAATTGAACCAAACACACTCATTAAATATCTTCAAACACGATTTTCAATGAAAAATAAGCAGACTAACTTGTAACAGTAAAATTGAAATTCATGTGCTCATAGGATCTGAGATAATTCAATACATAAAACACCTCTGATGAAAAGTGCAAAAGATGACTGTGTAAAAGGGGAATGAGATCCCATCCCCTCTTCCAGGTCTGAAACTAAGTTTTCTTACCCTATAGATGTCAAAAGCATAAACAATGTGGTATATTTCCTGTCACCAACCAATCAAGAAACATTTCTTTAATTACGGTATTAGAACCATCCTGAAGAGCTTGTGAAAAATGCACATTCCTGGGTCTCTACTGTAAGTTCCCAGAATCAGAATTTCTGAGATGGGAGCTAGGCAGTTGACTGCTTGTTAAAATGATTCTTGGGACACTGAGTGTGAAAAACAGGGCTTTTGAAATGTCTGGAAGGGGATGGGGGATGAGAAATAAACAGTTATTGATAGATCAAACTTTAGGCATATATCTGTTCTTTGGTCTACTGTTTGACAAAAAAGTTCACCAAAACTGATAAGTAATTTTAATTTAAAAGTTATTCTATGACTAAGGGGTAACTAGGGCTATATGTGTCGATATGGATAGTTCTCAAAAATATAACATTATATGAAAGCTTAGAAGGTTACTTCTAATAAAATGAAATTCCATTTATAAATGTTTAAAAAATATGTAAAACAATACTATATACTGTTTATGGCTATACATACATATGTAGTAAAAATCTAAAAAAAACATTCAAGAAAATGATTAAACACTTGGGGAAAAAAGGATGGAAACAGAATTCAAGAGGGGTACAAACAAGGCCTTCTACTGTTTCTAATATTTTGTTCTAAAAATAATAGATCTGAAGCAAATTAGGCAAAATGTTAAGATTTGACAAGCTGGGCAGTAGTCTATGCTTTTCTGTGTGCTTAAAATATTTTAGTTTTTCTCGTGGTTATTTTAGAAAATGCAGAAAGTTTAGGAAAGTAAAAACCCATTACTCACAATCCTGTTACTGAAAAGAGATTTCTTTCCATTCTTTTAAAAATGAATTCTACATAATTGAGTTATATCACTTTATATTAAAAAAATAATAAACTCAGATTCTTCTTACCTTCATTGTATAAACTTGAATTTGATCCAGTTGTTGGATATTATTAAGCAGCTTTATTCTCTTCCCATAGGAACTAAAATTATAACAGGATAAGCAAATCTATCATTATTTGCTAAATAATAATCCCTGGAGTATATAAATAGTATATAATCAACTTTAGGTTGTTAGAATAGAAGTCAGATTAAAAGGAACAGTTAATAATTCAAACATACTCCTATTAGAAACCCTCTCCCTTCCTTTGCTTCTAAGACATGAGACTCTAATGCCCTCAATCCTCTTCTCTCTTGGTAAATTCAGACTTCAATACCTCTCATACCTATATCACTGAATGCTCAATTTACACTTCAAACTTATTTTAACCTAATTGTGGCCAACACCTACCCTCATGATCCTAAATTTGCATGGCTCACATAAGCGAAATCTCAAGATAGGTAAGTCTCTTTGAAGTAGAGCACAGTGATAATGAAAAAGGTCTTTGGAATCAGGCAGAACTGACTCACATCTGCACGTGGAATCTATATGATCTTGGAAAAGTCACTTAACCTTTTTTGGTACACTGATGTTCTCATCTATAGCACAGAGATAATACTATCTCCCTCACAGGGCTGGAGAGGGATTAAACAGTGTTTAATACAAAAGACTCAGTTCCTGCCCTCAAGAACTATAGGAGAATTTTAACTATGATTACAGATGTTAATAGAAATTATTATTGATGTTAAATTCCATATTTATCCCATCAGCAGTGTTTTAAGTACAAGAATCTAGGAGTTTATTAGTATAACCAAGTGGTGAGTATGTGAACAAAGTTATCTAACTAAACTGGCCAAAGATGTTACATAAAGGAAGACTACATTTGTTTGACAAACTGAGCCTTTGTCATATCAAAATAACTTTCAAAGAGAAATAATTATTGCTTACATCAACTAAGAAATAGTCACATCAAATGCAAATGTCTAGGATACAATGAAAGGAAACGCAGGACAATGTAAGACTTCTTGGCAGGGGTCGTTGTCAGTCACATGATCAGTCCATGAATGGATTTTTGAAACTCTTTATGGTGATGAGTTGCAAAGTTCCAAGTCTGACTTATGAGCATCAGGTATGAATTATGCATGAACCAAGTATATATCGTTTTAGCTTCATTTATACCTATTGTCCTCTATCAGTAATTACTCATAATGCTCCAGTCTTGAGAAAGAATTTAATAGGAATTAAACAACTCAAAATCCTATAATTCACTTTCTTGCTCCATTTACACTTACTAATTGGTCTAGGCATGTTAGCCTGATACCTGGCTGAAGCAGGAGGCAAGGGGTTAGCCTTTATCAATCCTTTAGCTAACTAGACTGAAATGTAAATCTTTTGCTAAAAGTCCTAGATAGACTTGCAGCCAGAAGTACTACAGCTGACCTCTGTGTTGTCCCCCGAGACCCACAGTAACCACAGAATCTAAGAATGACTTTTTTGGAATGTACAGAAGCATCATTACAGCTGATAAACCATTAAAGCAGCATAGCTTGTGTTTTACTATTCCCCTACCCTCTTCAGTTTGAAATAACAAGCATAGGGAAAGGCCAGCCTCCGAGAAGTACTTTAAGGCAGAGCTGTAACTGACAGGTTAAGTATAGTTGCACAGTGGAGCATAACCAGGAATCACAGCATAAAATAATACCAAACCGAAACCAACCTCACAGCCCAGTCTTTTCCTCAACTGATACTCAGTATTCATCACTTAATTAGAACTCAAAAAGAAACTACTGTATTCATAAAGAAATCACATGGGGGGGGGTGGGCAAAATGGGTGAAGGGGCTTCAAGAGGTACAAACTTCCAGTTATAAAATAAATAAGTCATGGGAATGTAATGTACTGCATGATGACTATAGTCAATAATGTTGTAGTGCATGTTTAAAGTTGCCAAGTGATGGTATACAATTTATGTTTTAAGCAGGGCAAGAAAATTTAAGCATAACATGTTCCCTGCTTGTACTGGGCCCTCCCTAATGTGCAATGTGCATTATACATTAACCAGACCTCCTCAAAGTTGGGAATGCCTGCTCAACTGTAAAAAACAATGCTTTTTTCCTTCTTCTGATGTCAACAATGTAACTCCTTAGAAGATTAATTTTTCCTTTCCTAATCCTGTAAGGGATCATGGTGACATACTGTGCCTATGTGCAGATCTGGACTATGTATCTTTGGTGAACTTTACATAAAATGTCAGTGTGTCACTTTGATGTACAATCTGTTTTCTCGAAAATGTATATGACTGTTCCTTTGACTTCTAACAGGCAGAAGAGTCCTCAGAGTTTTCTAAAAGAATGTCTCTTGGATTATAATCCTCAGGTTGGCTTGAATATAAAACTCTCTATTTCTCCTTTAGATCGAATATTGATTAATTTTTTGTTGACCCAAGAGAGTAAATCTTTTTTTTTTTGTTTTTTGTTTTGTTTTGTTTTTTTGCACAGCTTGCAGGATCTTAGTTTCCTGATCAGGGATCGAACCCTCACCCTTGGCAGTGAAAGCACAGACTCCTAACCACTGGACTGCCAGGGAATTCCGAAGAGAGTACATCTTAAAAGTCCTCATCACAAGAAAAAAAATTTCTTTGTAATTTTGTATGGTGACAGAGGGTACTAGACTTATTATGGTAATCACTTCGCAATATATACGAACATTGAATCATTACACTGTACACCTGAAACTAATATAATATTATATGTCAATTATACCTCAATAAAAATATTTAATTTTTTTTAAAAAAATCACTGATTAAAGTATATTTAAAAAGCCGCCCAAAACCTGGAGGTGTTTTTGTTTTGGCAAAGGCTATGTCAAAATAAATACTTTAAACAAAGATTTGGGCCAGAATAGTTGGACTACAATAAGATTTTATTTCCATATTTCATCATTTCTGAAACCTACTGTTTCTTACAACTGATGTGTACATTTAATGTGACAATATTTCTTATTTTTTTAGAAAAATCTTTGACCATCATCAGTTAATCATAAAACTGAGGAAATACAGGAGTACTTGTCTAAACTGGATTCCCCCTAGAAAGCAGAGTCTAGGACAAGAGCTTGCATACAGTTAATTTATTTTGGATGTGAATCCTGGGATATGGAGTGGAGGGCTAGAAAAGGTGAAAACAGGAAACGAGGGGAAAATAATGCAAGGGTACATTAATAAGTTGGTTGCATTGGACCACTGTGAACTTCAACGGATCCCACTGAAATCCTCAAAGGCAGCTCTGTCCAGAACTTTGTCATGATGGAAATATTCTATATCTGCCCTGTTCAGCATGGTAGCCACCAGCCATAAGTGGCTACTGAGCACCTGAATTATGGATAGTATAATTGAGAAATTAAAATTTTCACTTCATTTAATTTTAATTAATTTTAACACATAGGTAGTGGCTGCTGCATAGGAAAACACAGCTCTAAGGAGTACTGCAGAATCCACCTCAGAGTTAAGAGGTGGGCACAAAAAGACATGACATACGGTGTTCCTTTTGGAATTTTTACTATTTTGTTAACTCATGTGTCCCAAGTTCCTGGAAGAATGCCTAACGCATAATGAGCCCTCCATAAATATTTGTTGAATAAATCAACAGCATTTGGGTCCACAAAGTATATGGTTCCCTTTAAAAGCAAAACTCTATTAGAAAAAATTCCATTCAGTTCAAACAATAAGCTACTATTATACATAAGAAATAGGTAGTAAGGGGGACTTTGGGGGGACAGAGGGGGCTGATATATAATTATGAAAGAGGCAAGATTAGGTTCCCAAGGATTCTGACCCAAAGGAGGCTTATTAAAAGTCAGTAAAATGTTCTAAAGTGATCTTTCCCTCAATCTACTTGCATTATCAATTACTAAACAACAGTGCATGAAGTAATTCAGTATAATCTTTTGTTCTGATTCTTTGGTTACTGTTTCCACAAACAACACTTAGCTAAGTGGAATTCCAGAAAAGACCATATTTTACCACTGTTGCCAATTCCCTAATAGAAACAAAGTCTCTACTTTAAGGAAGGTTTAAATATTGATTGGATCTTCAACTGAGATATTTAAAGTGGACTTACATCTAGACCCTAGAATCTCCAGTCATATATAGGGATCTCAACCTACATAAATAATTTATGAAGGGCTTAACATGTGCTAATCACTCTACATACATTGTCTCATTATTATCCATTTCACAGGTGCAGAAACTGAAGGGTTAAATAAATTGTCCCAAATCATACATCTGAAAAGTGCCAAACTACTTTGGATAGTGTCTTTAAATCTAATACCAGGGAAGCATTCCAGCCTTAAGTAGCTCTAGAAAGACCTAGAAATATACTCAAGATAGGGTTGTAGCCTTGATTTTTCTTGCCAACATTTTTTTCCTATCAATTCTACATTTTCTGGAGTGTATAATTCAATTATTCTGAACTTGAGAGTAAAAAGTTGGTCACTACAAACTTCATGAAGGCTTATTACCAAAATTTTTAAAAACAGGAATCATTAGTAATATTTAACATAGGATTTGCATAGCAAAAACAAACAAAAACAACTCTAAGACAGCAGGTGTGGTATTCTGTTTTAAAACCTGTGCAGATTTAAAATGAGGACACTTAATATCAGCAATCTTGGGCTTTGTCTCTCCAGTGTGAATAAAAAGGTCTTAAGTATGCTTGGCTACAATGTGAATTTTATCATTCTTACCTTATTCCAAGGTCTTCAAGAAGAGACTCATCAAGAAAGGGCAGTATTGAACCTGTGATTTTCTTCTCTATGGAAGAAAAGGGAGGGGAAAAAAATGAATGATTTCAATATTCACAGCACATGCTTTTGATTTCTTTCAATTTGGATCCACCAGAATTTACTGAGATCAACATTTTTTTGAGCACCCAGTACTGGCAACAAACTGCCAAGTACCACATTTTTGATTCCTACTTGGAAAGTCTTAATTTTATTTATTTTTAAAAATAAATTTATTTATTTTTGGCTGCATTGGGTCTTCGTTGCTGCACGTGGGCTTTCTCTAGTTGTGTCGAGCGGGGACTACTCTTCGTAGTGGTGTGCCGGCTTCTCATTGTGGTGTCTTCCCTTGTTGCAGGGCACGGGCTGTAGGCACACGGGCTCAGTAGTTGTGGCTCGCAGGCTCTAGAGCGCAGGCTCAGTAGCTGTGGTTCATGGGCTTAGTTGCTCCAGGGATGTGGGGTCTTCCCGGACCAGGGCTCAAATCCGTGTCCCCTGCATTGGCAGGCGGATTCTTAACCACTGTGCCACCAGGGAAGTCCCACATGGTTTATTTTTCTTTATCTTTCTATATAGTTAATTCCAGAACACCTCAGATTCCAGAACACTGGACTATTTTCAAACAAACAAAAGTTTTTCTAAAGGTAACAAGAGAAAATGAGGATGTAATTTTCCAGAAAGAAAAAAACATTTAAATGAAAATGGCATTTTTGGGGGTGTTTTTCAAGCATAAAAATTATTCAATATAAAAAATCCAAACAATATAAAGTATAAAATATCAACCTACTCATATTCTCCTAATAATCATTAATATTTTAGATAACAAAATTCAAGACATTTACCTATGCAATTATGTAATTTTACACAAATGAAATTATGTTGTTTATAATCTATTTTTCCCAACTATTAGGTCATAAAGATCTTTCTTGTCAATTATTAACAATTATTAATGATGTAGTTTCATCATTTTTAATGGTTGTCTTTTATTCCACAATACAGATGTACCATAATACATTTAACCAATTTCTTCTGAACTTATGCTCCTCACCACTAAAATGAGTATAACTGAACCTATGTCACAGAGTTATTGTAAAGATTTTATAAGATGAAACATCAAGTGCAGAGAATTGTACTTCACGCAAAGTAAATGCTCCATAAATTGTTAATCATCAGTATTACTTACTATTATTATCAATGGATATTTAGATCATTTCTACTTTTTTGCTATTTATAACTAGTGGTTAGAAGAATAATCTTGAATAGATTTCTTTGGACAGTGTACAAATGTTTCTGTAAACTCCTACAAGTGAAATTTTCTCTAAGTAAAAAGGTATTCCCAAACTGCCCAGGGTTAAGCAAACTGATACTTCCATCAACTTTATTGGATTACCAATCTTTAAATATTTTTCTATCTAAATTTTAAAATCAGTGTTTTTAAAATTACTGTTAAGACTGAATTTTTTTTCTGTTTTTATTGGCTGCTTGTCAATTGTTCTTGTGTTTTGCTCATTTTCCTACTGGGGTGTTTCTTTCCTTGTTCTTAGTTGACTTTATAACTTTGGTTATGTTCTCCATTTTTTTTCTTTTCTCATTGGTTTGTTTATTCCCTTATGGTTGAGGGAAATCCAATGTATTTTGATGAGAACACTTGTTACGGTATAAGTGGCATGAATTCTGGAGTCCAAAGACCTAACTTTAAAATCCAGCTCTGCTTTTTTCTAGTTGTGTGGCCTTTGAACCTCAAACACATCATCTACTAAAAAAATACACATTGCAGTCTCTAAATTCCTGTGAAACTGTATTCCAAAATGAGGAAAGGCACCCAGCACCTGTGCTTAGTTTTGTCAATAAAAACAAATTTGGACTAGCAAGCTGCTGTGTATAAAACAGATAAAAAACAATGTCCTACTGTATAGCACAGGGAACTACATTCAACGTCTTGTAATAATCTATAACAGAAAAGAATCTGAAAAAGACTACATATATATATATATATATATATATATATATATATATATATAAACACACACACACACACACACACATATCACTTTTCTGTATACCAGAAAATACAGAAACTAATACAACATTGTAAATTAACTATACTTCAATTTAAAAAATCTGGACTTAGATAGGGACAAACTCTAATTAGGGAGAAAATTATTGCAATAGGGAGAATGTTCTGACCTCAGAAATCTGCAAGTGGCTCAAAATCAAAAGGGTGTTTTTTGGTTTGTTTGTTTGTTTTTTAATAGGATAAAGGAGGGGCAAGCAGAGATAAGCAGAATCTTTGGAGGGGAAGTGACCCCAGTCTGACAGGACATTGGCTGTGGTCAGCCAGTTCTTAGGAGAAGCTGATCAGGGAGCAGTAAGAAACTAGCAACTGTGAACACTTGGTCACTTTTTACCAATTAAAAGCACGTAATGTCTTCTAGTATTAGAGTGTGGTTCAAGAGAACAGATCATTCTGAAGACTGATGAATTAATCTACAGGACACCACTGAAATAGGCAGCCAACAATATAGCCAATCACATTTTGAAGACATAAAACTATTTCATCCCCACCTACTGCTACTCAAAAGAAAAATTCCACCCCAGAAGGGGAGGAAAACCAAGGTGGGGGTGGGGGGGCGGGGGTGCTAGGGAAAAAGAGAAGTGCAATTTCCTTCACCCATCAAGCTATCTTTAGGTCTTGAACACTTCTTTAGTTCCTCCCACCCAGCCTAAGCAAGCAGGGCTCTACCCCCCAATTGCAAAAGTTTACTGCATTTGCAAATCACACCACTTTTCCATTGAACACTTCAGAGGGTAAAGCAGAGGTCAAACTTCATCCCCCTTACGGGAAGTTGAGTAGATTTCAAGTGGATGGATGCTTGAACTTAAGCCAGTAAAGTTGCTTAAAACTCACAACCTACAGGCCAAGTTGTGGGCACCTGGGAGTTCAGTGGTCAACCGAACCACCCCAGGGTTCAGATTTAGCGAGGGAAACTTTTGGAGAACAAAACATGATCTTTACTAAGCTCTGCAAGTACAGTCATCACGCATGTATTGAGTCCTACCCGGATGCTACGGTAAGGCGATGCGGATTCAGAGATTAACAGAAAAGTTCTTTCCCGGTTAAACCCCGAGTTGGGAGGGGAGCGGAGGAAACAAACTTTAAAGCACCCAAATAAACTCTAACGTGGCAACGTGGCAAGTGTTCAGGGAGGTGCATCAGCAGAGGGGGGTCTCCCAAGCCTGGTGAGCTTGAATGACAGCAACCCTCCCACCAAGGGTCTTCTAACTAAAAATGGGACCTGAGTCCCGCCTGTCCGGCGCTGGGGTGCCAAGTTCCTGAAGAAGCTCACCAGAGTTAGACCAGCTGCCCCCTCCCCGCCCCAGGTTCACAACCCCCAAAAGTACGCTCCCTTCCTATGGGTCCGCAACGCCAGACGCCCCATTTCTCCCTCCTCCATCTCAGGGTATCCCTCCTGGGCGCTGCCCCTCAGGTCCACCCTTGCGGGTGCCTCCCGCGTCAAGTTTCCTTCCCCCGCCTCAGGCAACCTTCTCCGAAGGGCTCGCAGCCTCAGGTTTCCGTTCTCCGCCTCAGGTCATCCCTCCTGGGCGCCCCCGCCTCAGGTCCACCCCTTCGGGTGCCTCCCGCGTCCGGTCTCCCTCGGCCGCTCTGGCTCCTCTTTGAGGGCCCCACGCTCACGGCCTCAGGGAGCCCTCTCTCAGGCCCGGCTGTCGCGACCTCGGGTCGCCGGCCCCCGGCCCCTCACCCCTACAGCCCTGCTACCTCGGCAGCGTTCCAGCAGTCCAGAATCGCTGAAGCCACAGTCCCTCAGGAAGGAGCACACCTGCTCCGGGCCCCAGGTCCGGTGGTCGGGGTGAAGGTCGGGACTCGGGGACCTCTCTGTGTCTGCGGGAGGGGCGTTTGGCGGGGTTCTCGGGCTGCCATCGCGCCGGGGCCGCTTGGGGGGCTTCTGGGAGTCGGCACTCTGCATGGCTACACCCAGCGCCCCGCGCGACACAGTCAAGAACCCCGGCGCCCGACCCGCGCGCAGGCGCACTCGCAGCTCAGTGGCGGCGGCGGAGAGTCAGCTTAGTGCTGCCAGCCTACTGGCCGGCCGCGCAGGCGCACTGACAGCTCAGACCTTGGGGCCAGGCAGGCCACCCACTTCAGGCCCCCAACCCCCAGTCCCGGCGCAGGCGCAGTGACCGCCCAATGACCCTTAGCCCCACCCAGACGTTTACGCTAAAGCGAGTGAGTAGAAGCAGAACTGAGAGTGGTGCTGGTAAATGCGGGGGTCGGG